CTCAGTTCAAACAATGGAGTATTAGTCAACCCTAAAGAAGGATGAATTCAAGCCATTTGTAAGAAATGAACGAATCATGAGGTGATAATATGAAGCGAGACAAGTCAGACCGGAGGGTTACTTGTGAGATGGTTTCTCTTATTTGGGAACCTCAAAAATATAAATAAAGTCAAGAGTAAAATAAGGCCACTTGTGGTGGCGCACACCTGTAATCCCAGCACCCAGGAAGGTGAGGCAGGAAGGCCGCCACAAGTTTGAGGCCAGCTTGAGCTACACAGTGAGACCAGGCCAGTCTGAAATATAGTGAGACCCTGTCTATAAAAGAAGAGTAAAATAAAAAAGAGATGGTGTACAACAGGGATGATTCTGGAGATGGGGAAGAGGGGGAAAGGGAGGGAACAGAGATTGAAATGATCAAGATAGAATATATATATACCAGTTCCCCAAAACAAATGTAATTATTGTATATGGTGAATATATACCAATGCAACATTTTAAAAATTAAAGAACAGGAGTCAGAACCAGTGCCATGCACAGGCCACTGCCGAACTGGAAATAGCTAGACCCATGCCTGTCCCCATGAGTCAGTGCCATTCGTGGACTGAGTGGAGAGAGAACAACACTGCTCCAGCAAACAAGCCCAGTCTGGGAGCCAGCGCCATGTGTGGACCGCAGCCAGACTGGAACAGACAGACCCCCGCCCCTTCTGGCACGCGGGCTAGCAAACAAAAGTACCAACCCCTCTTCCCGGCCCCCCAAGCAACCAGCTTATCCAGAGAAACACAGGCTGTGAGGATAGCTATCAAGGTGAAATGTAATTGGATGCCTGTGGTGCTTTGGAGTTTCACTAACTCTGCAGGTCTAGGGCCAGCGGATATTGGTATGCAGTGAGGGTGAGCTCCTCCTGAGGGCTGAGCCACTGTTGATTCCCTATGATCTTGTTTTAAGGTCCTATATATTTCCATTGTTCTGTTGGGTTGGGTTTTATTCTCTTTTGTTTTATTTATGTTAAATCTGATGGCGGGAGAAGCTATTTCGAGGATGGCAAGATATATTATGATAGCAATTTTGGACTTACTATTGGCTTGTTTTGAAATCCTTTATTGCATTCATTGTTTTGTTTTTATTGTTTCTATTCTATTCTGTTCTGTTTGATTTTTACCGTGATCGAAGTTATCTGCAGCTATTTTGAAGACATCAAAAGGCATTATGGTAACCATTGTTTATTTTGTAATGTTTTGAAGTCCTGTATCTTTTACACTGCTTTGTTTTGATGGGTTTTATTCTGTGTTATCTTCTTTAAAATAAAAATTTTTTTAAAAAATTTTAAATTTAAAAACAGGCAGAAGAATTGGGAACTCCAGATAAAACACCATAAAGAAGAAAGAAAGAGGGTGCAGTATCGCTGGCCACAGCCAGCCTTAGAGGCCTGGCACACAGGTGGCAAAGCAGGAGAGACCACCATGCCCTGCAGCTCCAGTGGGCTGGTGCTGCTTCTCAGGGGTGCACAGTTCCAAGTCCACCACCTGTGCCCCGAGCAGAGCAAGGACTCAAAAGAGGCCCATCTGAGTCGAGGAGAGGACACAGCAGAAGCGTGAGATGTGGACTGTGACCAGGGCTGGGCAGGCACATGGAAGAGGTCAGATCAAAGCCAAGATGGCTCGGGGGGGTCTGCAAGCAAGGGAGGGAAAAAGAAGAAAACACAAGGGGGTGAAGGATGACCACCTCTGCAGAAAGCGAGGGCATCACTCCCCTGGCTTCCCATGCAGCCTAGGACAACAGGAGTTCTATGGAATGAGTAACCACTGTGATCTGATACGTGCTGTCCACGCAGCGGTAGCAGGGCAGGAAAGCTGGGCGGATGAGGACCCACCCTCTGAAACAGAGGCCCGCCTCATAACTGCCATGCTGCTGAAAAGCTCTGAATTCTTAGGGAGCACTTTACTCAAGCCTCAGTTTCCCCATCTGTATTACAGGCTGATAATAGTACTGAACTTGTCCTGAGGGTTAAATGAGAAGCCCCAGAGAGAGCTCAGGGCATCACCAGCACCAGGGTGACTGTGGCCCTCAAATGTGAGCACAGACACTTCTTCTGGTAGGCTACAGACATGTGGGTCTCAGAGTCCCATTGCCTGCCATCCGCCACCATCGGCCTGAGGTGGGACCCAGGAATCTACATTTCATACTTCTCCCACCCGAGTGACTCTGAGGCAAATGCAGAGGAGCTCACCCTCTGAGACATGTGTTCACTGATTTCCATTGTCCCTTTGATCCCGGACCGTCCCGCAAAGTCTGAGCCAAAGACCCATTCACAGGGGAAGGAAGAGGCTATCGTACAGGCTGGGATTGGCCACACCAGGGTCTGGCCCTGGGTCTCCTGCCTCCAGATCCATAGCTGGTCAGCCTTCCCCTGGCAGAGGCAGGGTGGGCTTCCCCTGCCTCGTTCTTACACCCCTCCCCCGCAGCCCCATTGTCATTTCCTCCTGGCCTCTGTTAATCTGGCCTCGCAGACCATTCCGTTTCCTGCTGACCCACAGCTGCCTCCTTCACTCCGCTCCGGCTGGCACTTCCTGTCCCTGTGCCCCCTCTCCAGAAGGGTCTGGTAGAGAGGGGCCCGCCAGTGCCAGAGGCTGGGTATGAGATCCTCAGGGGGCCCAAAGGGACACTGAGCTCCTCCTCCCCTGAGATCTGAACTGTCATTGCTATGATGCCGGAGCGCTGGTGAGACCCCAATTACCTACGGAGGGAACGAGGGGAATAAAGACAAAAGATAATATTTAAGGTAGGAGGAGGAACTGGGAGGAGCTCCTCTAGTGGACTGGCTCTCTCATCTCTCAGTGTTGTGCAATTTTTATTAGCTAGAAGCTGGGGGGTGTGCGCCTTTTTGGACCAGTTACAGTAACAGGATAATAAAATGGGGATCAAGTTTAGCATTTCAAAGGGAACAAGTTAAAGTTATTATCTTGTCTCAAGATATTATCTGGTCTCAAGAGGCTGTGAATATGAGCTTTCCAAACAACACAGCAGAGAGCAGGCAGCTATTTGTAAACTTCCCTGTCCCTCGAGGTAAGCCACACTGGCCTCCAGCCATAGGCTCACAGTCACGTAGCATGGTGCCTAATGTAATAAACTATTATTTCATATCCCTTGGTCCCCAACACTATGGGGACCTCCACTCTACCCCTAGGGCTGAGGGCATGTGCCTGGCCAACAATCCTCTTGTTTACAGATGACAGAAACTCAGTTCTTCCTTGTGGAATGGGAGCACAGCAGCAGTAGGCTCATGGTGGCAGGTCAGGCCCTGTCCTGTCCTGAGTCCCCACGAAAGTGACGTCCAGGCCTCTGTCACTCATAGACCATGAGGGCAGGCAGTCGGCACTTTCAAGGATGAGGGGAACAGGGTGGAGCACGGGGCACAAGGGGACACAGAGCTCCAGGCAGAAAGCAGAGGAGACCCCGCAGAGAAAGAAACGCTGAGCTGTTGTTTGTTCAGCCCACAGGCTGTGAGTGACCGGCAAGGCCCCACTCAGAGCCAACCCACAGCAGGTCACCCAGCTCAGCTCCAGGGTCCGGCCCATCTTCTGGATTCTCCCTGGTCACCCGTGATCCAACTTTCTCAACCCCCCTCCACTACCCTCCGCCATCAGTCTCGAGCTTCTTCTGTTTAGTCTCTGGTCAAAGTTGATGGCCTTGTTCTCCAATTTCAAGGGATATGTGTCAGCCATCTGCTTACCTAGATGACACCAAGACTACCGCACTGTCCCTGCCTGGCTTCCTGGCCCTGCTCTGATTGGAACCTGTTCTACTGGGTCGAGTATCAGAGCACCCAGGGCTCCCTCCCAGTAAACTCAATGACTTTCATGGCTGCCCTGGCACCAACCATAAGCTCACAGCTTCCCCCAGGTGTCTTGTAAACACCTCAAACTCCTCTCAAACAGAGCAGTCTTTGCCTCCCCTTTAGCAGCTCCCCACCACCACCACCGAATTTTCTTCCTGCTCTTGGCTGTCTCATCCCTGACTTCCTGAGTGTCCCTGAGCAAGGCCCTCCCCGCTGGGGTCTCGATGTCTCTTCTCAATTGTGGAACAAATTCGGGACTTCCCAGCCACTCACTCATCCATGAAAAACCAGCGCAGCTCTTCAAAGGACAGATTCCAGGCGCCTGCCTGGAGATTCCACATCAATCAGCCTGTAGCGGGCCAAGGCCTCTGTAGTTTTTAGGAGCCCCTCATGAGTACCTGAATCGCAACTCTTCGCTCCCCTGGCTTCTTAGTTCTGAGGCTCTCTGGCAAGCTTCTGCTTTTTTGTTTTCCAAGCCCTTTTTTGACTCTTGTTTTTCTCAAGACTGGAATTATTCCCAGTGCCAAGAACTGCTGTCTTCTCCCATCCCCCACCGCCCTCACCCAAGACTCCTGCCCGCCACATACGTGCTTTGGGGTCACCATAGAAAACCCAGCTAGATCTCTGACTACTGCAGTCCAGTTGGCCCCGTTGGGCCACAGCTTCCTAGCTGTAAATGGGGATCATGTTGCCCAGTGTGTCAGCACAAGCCTGTAATCCCAGTACTTGGGAGACTAAGGCAGAGGGAACACTGTAAGTCCGAAGTCAGCCTGGGCTATAAAATGAGTTCAAGGTCAGCCTGAACTTCATAGTGAAACCATCTCAAAAAGACAAAAGAAAAAAAAAATGGGGGTCATGACACCTGTTTGGGGAGGCCCAAGAGGGGTTAAATGCCCCAATGCAGGCTCAGGCCCCCCACAATTAGACCACTGGCAGGTGCTAGGCTCCCAGCCCAGGCCCTGAGGGGAACATCCCAAGAGGGCCAGGCGGGCGAGGTGGCCGCCCACCGTGGGGTCTGCCTATCTGTGGCAGCCCAGCCCTCACAAAGCAACAATAACAGGAAACCATCCTGGGGGAGGAAGTGGGCCCTGTCCAGCTGGAAAACCTGGAGGGAGGAAGCCGGCCTCCCTCGCGCTGGGTGTGGCTCGCTCCAGAGGCAGCCGGCTGAGATCCACTCTGCTCTTGGCCCTGGACAGACAGAGACGGACGGAGAGCCTCCCAGCCCACAGGCACGGTGAGTGAGGGCTCCCACCCACCTCTCCACCCGACCCATTGTCAGCTTCCCCATCTCTAGAGTGAGTATCAAGGGCTCCTGGACCAACTGTGGCTCCTCAGGGGTCAGAGCTGGGCTGGAAAAGGTACAGCCATTGGGTGGCCCCGCAGGCACAAACGCCTCTGTCAGAGCAGGGTAATGGGGTGAGCATGGTTTCCAATCCAACCCCATGTGACCCCAAGGCCCACTGGCTTCTATCGGTGCCAGGCTCCGAGAGGGCAGGGATCTGCTCACCGTCACCCACCATACTGGGGCACAGGACTGGCTCCTGGGTGCTGGCTTCTCCTTAGCATCCCTTCCCCTGTGGGAGAGGGTTTGCCAAGGCCTGACATCACCTCCCTTCACCCTCAAGGGGTTATGCTGGGATTTGGGGAGGAGCCCTGAAAAGGGAGATCTGAGCCTCCGTCCCTCTCTTGGTGTCCCCTATTTTCAGGATAGGCCACCTGCAGCTTGGCTCTAGACATTTAGAGCCCTTTACATAAAATCCTCTCCTTCCCTACTCCAATCTCCATAGGGGGCAGCTTCATGCTATGGAATCTGCTGCTGGGAAACACCCAGCTCCCCAAAGCCTGGGACCCAGGAGCCTTGGGACCCCTCGAAGTTCAGGGAAGTCCACTAGAACACTGCAAAGATGAGGGTTTGGGTCCAGTCACCTGGGCACAGATCTCAGCTCTACACTTGCTTGTGTGGGCCCCTGGAGAAGTCTCTGGATCTCAATTTGCTTGCCTGAACAATAGGGAAAGAGATGACGGGCTGCAAGAACAGGAAGTAAAAATATCTACCAGGCTCTTGAACAATGGGGGTCCTTAGTGATGCCCCCCTCCCATACTCCTGGGAGGTAGATAGACCCTTCCTTCATGTCCTGGTGAGAGCAGATGAGATTCATAGAAGAGCTGGGGGCTGAGATATGAACTAGGATCTTGTCCTCCAGAGCCCAGGCTCTTTCTAGCTCCTCTGATTTTTCCGTGCGGCCATCTGTAAAATGGGAAAGTAATGTTTTCCTTGGTCGGTTAAATATGATCCCCCCGCCCCTTGGCACTGGGATTGGCAACTAACGGGATCTTTGAGGAATCAGTGATGAATTTACCAGTTCCCCCAGAGCAGAAATGGCTATGCATGTCATAATGATTTGACCCCTGAGCCACGGTCACAAGCCCCCCATTCACCCCACCCTTGCCAGTGACAGGCCAAGTAAGAGGGTGCTCATTAGCCATTTCTGATCAGCAGACGCCTCTGTGCTCTTGCTCCATACTGGGTGCCAGGCTCACCCCTCACCCTGTGGATGTGTATGGTGGGCAGAAGGGACTCTGAAGGAGAGGAAAGACATGGCAGGGAGAGGGGCAGGGTGGAGGTCTTGGGGAGACTGGTGCAGTCAGTGTGTTTGTAGACAAGAAGTAGAGGCCGAGTGGTGGAGGGCCAGTGACCTGCGAGCCCAGCTTGTCCACAGGCAGGGGAGACACAGGACTTGTCCCTGTCCAGCCTGAGTCCAGCCATTCACAAGTCCTGTACTGGAAGACACTGGGTGATCCTGGAGGGGTCCAGGAACAGCTGAACCCCGGACAGCCGTACTAACTACAGCTTTTGTGCTGAGAGCTCAGGGAGGAGCCTATGACCATGAAGGGGTTAAGCTGCCCACCCTGCCGTCTCAGCCAGGGCCATTGTGCAGTGAAACAAGAGCCGGACATGGGGCAGGAAACCAGAAGGGTCCACACTTATTTTCTCCTGAAGTTGTGTGACTCACAGCTCCACTGCTGCCTCAGGAGCATGAAATGGACACTGCGGCCACTGTCCCAGGAAACACTTGGGCTTCTGGCCCTGGGGTACCCGTGCTTGTCACCTCTGCTACCTCTCCACACCCCCATCTTGGGTGCCCTGAAGCTACTACAAAGTTCTCATGTGACAGATGGGTCCCTGAAGCCCAGAGAGGCAAAGCAATCAGTCCGTGGTCACGCAGCTAGTGTAAGATGGGCAGGAGTGAGGTCAGCCCCTTCTGGCCCTGTGGCCTTTGCCATATTCCACTGAAAAGTTCAGTGGAAGGGACATTGGGCAACTCAGGCCACAAAAGTAGGAATAAGGTTCATCCAGGAGCGTTCCCCAAAGATCCTGGGGAGAGAATGTTCTAGAAGACAGGTCCTGCACGCTGGAGCTTGCTTCTGGCTTGGGAGATGCCAAAAAAGTCCATCCTGCCTGAGATCCAGTGCTAGGTGGAGAAATCACAGAGGACTTCCTGGGGGAAGAAGAGCCTCGGGCGGCTCCTCTGCAATCTTAACCTCAGTCTCCCCTCTCTAAATTTATTCAAGGAGGTTCTGGATGTCAGACCATGGCAGGGAGACACAGCCAGTGAGATTTCCTTCAGGAGCAGAGCAGAGGGACCCAGGCAGTGTGCCAGGGGCAAAGCCTGGAAATAAGATCAGGTGTGAGTCACCAGTGGCAGGATGGATGGGCAGGTAGATGGGGGGCAGGCACGCCCACACTTACCAAGCACTCACTGAGTGCTGGGCTTAGCACCTGTGATGTCATTTACTCCTCCTGTGCAGGGAAGCAGCTATGGCTTCTATCACAGATGAGGCCGCTGAGGCCCAGAAGGAGCAAGGAATGGGCCCAAGGCCACACAGCTCACGAGCAGCTGGGCAGGTTCAAACAGGCAGGGGCATGTAGCCTCCTGTTGCCTCCACTGCCCACCCCAAGTCCCAGTCAAAGCCACGCAGCCCAGAGAGGCAGGGAAGGGCCGGGAGGGTGTTCCCTGCCTACAGCTTAGAATTGTCACGTAAGAGTCAGCAAGGTAGACTGGATGGCCTGGTGCCCAGAGACCCAGCACCAATTTGTTTCAGGTGATGAGTGAGCGCTGGTCCATCGGTCTCTCCCTCAGATTACTCAGGGACGAGTTCAGGTTCAGTGGGAATGAACGCTGATTGACGAAGCGTCCGCTTCGGGAGAGGGAACGGTGCTCTTCGAATTCCGTTTTGCAACCTCTGCCATACAAGGCCCCCTGCTCAGGGCTCTGTGCACACCTCAGGGACCCCTAAGGTTGCTCACTGCCCCCTCAAAACCCTAACGGTGGGATGACCCTTGCAGGAGCTACCTGGGGACAAACTGCAGCTTCGAGTTACACCCATAACTGCGCCTGCTCCGACCACCATAGGTGCAGTCCACAATCCTTGGATTGGTTTTTGAATCCTGTAAGTGGGAAGGGAGTCAGTAACAAGCCCAGAACTGGAGACTGAGCTGTGCTGACAGGTAGCAGTGGGGATGCTGACACCTTTGTGCCTGGGGTGGGAATGGAGACCTGAACCTGTCTGGGCACAGATGCTCAGGCCAGAGGTCAGAGGCTGTGCAGGACCCGATTACAGCTGGAGGACAGCATGAAGGAGGTGGCCTGGGGCCTGAGATGAAGTACAGCATTTACCCAGAGAACACAGCGAGGAAGGGCTCTCCAGGAAACAGCCTATGATAAAAAGCCTACTAGTAAGAGGAAGAGCTTTGTGCAACCCAGAAACTTCTAGTTCTCATAGCCAGAGAGGTAGAGGAGAGGACAGCCGGAAGGGACACTCGGTGCTGGGCCTTGAAGGTAAGCGCAGGGTTAGACTTCATCCTGTGAGGAGTAGGCAGCCGACAAACGCTGCACGGAGGGGCGCTATCTGGGGCCTCCAGGAGCAGGTCCAGGCCTGAACCGAGCCACAAAGCTAGAGAAAGTCCCCAGGGGCCAGCTCCTGGTTGCTTGGACTCACTCATCCCCCCAGGACGCACGCCTCACCCCTCATCCTCAGTCAGCCTCATCTGTCCTCCGTGTAGAAGCTGGAGCTCATGCGGACAATTTGGGGGTCCTTGGAAGAATCTGGGGATTATTTGGTCCCACCCCCATCCTACACTGAGACTTGCAGCGTGGGGTAGGTGGGCAGCAGGGAAAGTTGCCCAGGGCCACCCGCAGAGTGGGTGATCCCGCACCCCCACCACTCGCCTCCCCACAGGCACGCAGCCTATGTTCTAAGCCGCCTCCTCCCACCGCCCTGCCCCTCATCCCTGACCTAGGGCCTCTGGGCTGGGCGCCACCGGCCACAGGAGGCTGGGCTGGGCCTGCGAATTCTTTCCACCCTCCCCGGAGCTGGGCTCAGCTGCCAGATCTCCTCTCAGCTGAAGGCCTCGTGCTGGGAGACCCCGAGGGGACTGAGAGGCCAGCCCTGTGCAGGGCCTCTGTGGACTCAGGAGCCTGTGGACTTAGGGCTGCACACTCCTGTAGGCATCTCTGAGAGCATAGAGGTCTCTATGGCCTAGGGATGCAGTCATCTCTGTCCTAGAGCATCCCCTTCCACCTCCCCCTGAGTCTCCAGCCTCACCAACCCCCCAAAGCCCAGAACCAAAGCTTGTGGGGCTCCAGTGAAACAGGGAGAGGATGGCCCAGGGCATTGGCCATTGCTTCAGTGAGGGGCTCCCAGTGAGGGGCCCAGCCTTCGTAGCACTTACGAACTACAGAGCCAGCAGGTGCTGAGGGTCCTAGCTCCAGGCCCTCCCCACAGCCGGGTACCTCCTCCTGTACTGTTCCTAACCTCCTTCCGAGGTAGAACCTGGAGGCTCCAGGGCTGAGCCCACCTCACAGCCCCTTCAAGGCTGACCCAAGAGACAGAGGGGCCACAAAGAGAAAGGGAGGCAAGGGCCTCTGCCTGTGACACTGTGAGCTTGACTCTCATGGGGCTAGAGAGCCTGGGTTTGCTCCTCATAGTGGGTCACTGCCTAGCACATAAAAAATGATCCAGCATGGTGTGGTGGCACATGCGCATAATACTGTGCTGACTCAGGAAGCTGAGGCAGGAGAATCATATGAGTTCAAAGCCAGCCTGAGCTACATAGTGAGTTCGATACAAACCTGAACTATATGGTAGGATTCTGTGTAAACAACAACAACAAAATAACCTCTATAAATGTTTGTCAAGTGACTATGTAACCTTAAGGTTCTAATGAAGGCTTTGGAGAGGTAAAAACAGGTCCCAGAGACAAAGGCATAGTCACAGATTCTGGGTGACAGCCCCTGCATGTCCACCACCCACACCCTCTTGCCCCAGGACCCTCACTCCACTCCTCTTAGTGCCCACATGAGTCCCTAGGCCACCTGTTTGGAGCTGCTCAGCCCCAAAAGTACATTCCCCTCCCTCAGTCTCTCTGGACATTGGTGGTGATGTCGGAATCCACCTACCAGTGTCCTGAGCCTCTCCAAAGGTGATGCCTCTGCTTGTTGAAAGCAAAAGGGCTGAGATAAATCTGACCCCAGCTGTGGTTCTGGCCAAGTGCCTAAACCTGAGCCTGGGGAAATTCGGTTTCCAGCTGTGGCTGCCGCCAGCTTGGGGCCTGACTTCCTCTCCAGGCAAGAAGAGGAGGAAGGATCTCCTCACAGCCAACTTTGGTGACTAAATTTCCAGCACAAAAGGCAAAGGAGGCAAGTAAGTGTGGCTTTTCAGATGGAACGGTCCCTCCCAGGTTCCCAGGGTGTAGCAACAGTTAGATGTAGGTGCAGGTCTAAAACTACCACCTAGATTTTGGCCATGTAAGGAAACATCCCAGATTCCAGGGATGAAGAATGGACACTTGAGAGACTCTCATTTAGCTGTCTCTGAGCCTCAGTTTCCTCATCTGTGAAATGGAAATGATCATCGCCACAATCACAGGATGCTGGGCTTGGTGTGGGTATTAAATGAGACGGTACCTCTGAAAGCCAGGCGGTGAGAACAGCTGATTATTCTTGCATGTGAGGGGCACCACAGATAGAGAGGGTGGCAATAAGCACATTTTGAATGAAAGCTCAAATCCTGGCTCCACTTCTTGCTGTTGTGTGTGCTCTGCCTCTCTGAGCTGGCATTTCCTCACCCTGCAAAATGCAACAGCTGACAGTCACTCCCAGGGGCTGGAATGAGACACGGTGCCTCAGGAGAGGAGCTCCAGCAAGTCAGCATCCTCCTCCAAGGAAGGAAGGCTGACTCGGGATGCTCAAGCCTCCTCTGAGAAGGAGAAGGGACAGAGACTGGATTCTGTGACCCCAGATGCCAAAGAGCCCATCTCCAGGGCTCCTGTCCTCCCTGGAAATGGCCACCTAGAGAGATAATCATGCTATCCCTCCTGTCCCCTGACTGAGGGACAGACTGATGTGAATCACCTGTGTGAATTAGGACCCTCCCCGCTGAGGGTTCAGTCTGAAGGTGACAGGTGTGATCCTGGGGCCGTTTCCAGCCCTCAGGGCAGGACTTCGGCTGGCTTGGAATAGAACCCAAAGAGCTTTCCCACATCTTCATAGGGTACTTTGTATATGGCACCAACCAAAGCTCACTGAGGGGGTAATGCCCCCCCCCATCATGTGGTTATAGCCTGTGACCAGAGGACTCTGCTTCACTGAAGTCCAGTGTTGTTATTTGTTCTTTTGGCTCATGGTTGTTGTCAGGGCTGAGGATATCCTCACCCATCAAACCGGCCACATACAGAGGCAGGATACCAGGGGACCAATGGAGTAACTTGGAAAGGGGTGCTGCAGGGGACTAAGCTGGGGGGTTTGGGGGAGCAGGACATAGAGGCACCTAAGACAAGTGATCTAGGGCAATTGTCAGTGCCCCAGGTGTAAAGGGAGAAGGACAAGGATATTTCTAGAACCTAGTGACAGACCAAGGCGTGGGGGGCCTGCCCATCAGGAGCTGGTACCAGGGAGCAACGCAGCCACTGTAAGCAATAAGGGTCAGAGCAGGGAGGAGCAGGAAAGAACCACACACACACACACTTCTCTCTTCTTTTCTCTAAGTGCCCACTGAGGTCCCCTCTTCACCAAACATAGCCAGAAGTCAAGGTCAAGGCCAGGGCCAGGGGGCCCAGGCATCCCTGTGACCTGGAACAGAGCAGGGAGGGGGGGTGTGTCCTGGCTAGAAGACTAGAACTTGCATCGTTTTCTTCCCAGCAAATGATGGGGAGCTAAAGAATGGGACAGCACAGCATAGCCCAAGTGCACCCATGTCCTACAGCTGAGGTGACAGCCTGCCACTATCTGGGGCCTTAGATCTCCGTGCAGGTATCGCTTCTCTTACAGTGCGGAAGTCTAGAAGTCTGAAAGGAGCCTCAAGCCAGCTCAGATCAGGGCTGCATCCCCTCTGGAGGCCTAGGGAGAGTCCCTGTCCTTACTTCTTCCAATTCCAAGAGGCCACCACCTGCATTCCATGGCTGATGGTTTCACATTCCGCAGCCCCTTGTCACCATATCTTCATCCTGAATCTGACTCTCTCTCCACTCTCCATGGACGGTTGTGATTACACTGGCATCCACTCACATTGTCCAGAATCATCTTCCCATCTCATCCACCCAAAGTCGCTTTCATTATGTAAGAGAACATCTCGAGTTCCAGGGATTAAGGAGAGACATCCTCCTCAGGGATGTCCATCCCTGAGGGGACCCTCTTTTAGCCTGTCACACAGACCTGCCAACAACTTCTTGTGCCTAGCTCCTGTTGCTCATTTCTATCTCACCAAGGGGACTTCTTTGGATTCCTCAGCCACAGTGATCATCTTGCTGCCACAGGGCCTTTAGACCTGCTGGTGCTTCTGGCTGAAATGCTCTTCCTTCCTGTTATTCCTATAACTGAACTCAGATACTGATTCGAATATCTCTGAATGGGGCTGGGGATGTAGCTCAGTGGTACAGTGCTTGTCTAGTCCATAAGGCCCTGGTACCATCCCTAGCCCTATGAAAAAATAATACAATAAAAACATCTCTCTGAGGGGCCTTCCCTGGCTTTATGATCTCAGTCAGTTGCTCCCTCACTCAGAATTGTGTCCTCAATGTCATTCCTTGCTTTTCTGCTCTTCCCCACACCATGTGCATGCTTGACCAGTTTATGTTGCAAACCTGCTGCCATGTGGAGCCAGAATACAGCAGGCGCTCCAGCCCCGGCACACAGCAGGTGCTCCACACCCAGCAGCTCAGGGCTCACCCCGTCCCACCCTGATGCCTGAAAACCCTTTACCCTGTTTCCTGATTTCATTTCTGCTTTGCTCTTCCATTTCCAACTCACTTCTCATTTGCAGCCAGTAGAAAGCACCATGATTTTGAGATTCTTCTCTAGGCAGAGAAGGAAATGACCATGGGGTCAGGGCAGTACTATGCCTGTCTGAGCCTCCCTGAGTGGAGACCAGCTTTCTGCTGGGGTGGCCCAGCCTCCTGTCCTCCCCAGTTCTGTGTTCACTGCCTTCCTCCTGCCTGGAGCTTCTGACCTCCAGGGCCTGGGGTCTTTCACTGACAGCCAAGGGGACTGAACTTCTTGTGCTCCACTGACCCTCTGGGACTATGGGAGCCACTTCCCCCTCAGGCAGAGGCAGAGCCAGCGGACTGGAGCCTTGGAGGTTAAGGTCAGCTGACCCAGAGACCCTCGGCAAGGCCAGTCTGGCGCCAGTGGCCCAGAGGAAAAGTCACTAGAGTTTCAAAACCTTTTGCAATTCAGAGCTCAGCCTCTCCCTTGGGTGGGGCAAGGGACAGCTGAGGAGGAAGCCACCCAACCCAGCGTCCTTCAGGTCCATGTCTCTCGCCAGACGTGCAAGCCGGGTCCTACGGCCACCCACTTTCTTCCTCTGTACTATCCCAGGAGCTGCAGGTCAGTGACACGGGGACCCAGGATGTGTGGAAAGATGGGACTCAAGCCTGAAAAAGAATGGTGACGGCCAAAGGCATGGCTTCTACCCACCATGGAGTCCCAAGGGAAAAATCTGTTTCCAAAATTCAGGATGCAGACAGGCTTTAGTTTCTGGGTGGCCCTCATTCCTGACATACAGGACACCTTCAAAATTATGCAACCTATACAACAGAACAGAACTTGGCTTTCAAAGGACTCCATGCTTGGTATAATGTTCTTTTCTCTCTGACTCAAAATGCTTAACAATAAAGGACCCACATTTTCATTTTGCACTGGGCCTGCAAATTATGAAGCCTGACCTGTGAATCTAGCTTCCCAAACTCCCCACTCCCACCCATCTCTGCTTTTGTGAGAGCTCCTAAGATGCCCACCTCCTCCGAGTCCACCAATATACTCACTCTGGGGTAAGACATTTGGGTTTTCCCAGGGACTTTCTGAAAACAGCATCAATGTAAAGCTGCTGTTGGGACTTTCAGGCTGGCCAAGGGGACCTATTTGTTCTGAGGAGCCTTTAAGTCCCACCCCATAGCAGATGGTGGGATGGGAGAAAGCAGTAAGAAAGAACCTGAACTTTGGGCCAGGCGGACTTTATTCAAATCTTGGCTCTCCTCGTAGTCCGGGTAATCTCATGAATGTAGCCCATATGCACAGAAGGATGAGTTTGCTTCTGGGTCTGCCTTCCCCTCCCAGACCAGGAGTTCATCCATGCCAGCAACAAGGTCTGGTTCTGCTGATGATGGGGAAAACAGTAAACAGGAAAAGGAGTTCAGTTCTCCAGAGGAGCTGTTCACATTCTAGGCCAGTGGCAAACATGCCCTGATTCTGTCTCCTCTTCCTCCAGATTCAACCTTCTCAGGAAGATGCAGAGGCTCACAATGCTGGCCACTACTTTGGGCACCTACCTTGGCCTGCTGGTGGCCACAGCCATGGCAGACTGTGACCCTACTCAATGGGACACCCCCAACCTGCAGTGCACCCACAGGCGCCAGAAGAGAGACTGGATCTGGAACCAGATGTACGTTGATGAAGAGAAAAATGCCTCACTGCCCTACTATGTGGGCAAGGTAAGGTTCAGACCCCCGGGCAGAAGTCATCAGCAGCTGGCCCATCACGATGGTATCGGTAGTAAAGATGGTGATGGGATCTTGGATGGTTGCAGGAACAGAAGTGGAGTTGAGAGGGCAATAGCCACAGAGGCACAGATGATGAAGGTGGTAGACGTGGTTATTGTGGTGTTATCTGTAGCAGCAGTAGGGAAAGAAAAGGAGAAAATAATACTGGAAATAATGGTGGTGGTGATCATGAAGGGGAAGGTAGGAGAAATTATGGTTGTGGTGGTGGTGGAGGTGGTGACGATAATGAAGATGGTGCTGGTAGGAGCTGTGGGGTTGATAGTGGTGCAGATAATGGTGACGGCGGTGGTGATGGTCATGGTGGTAATGGTGATGGTAGCAGTAGTAATGGTGGTGGTGATGAGAGTAACAGCGGTAGTAGCAATGGTCCGGGTGGTGGTAATGACAGTGATAATGTTAGTGGTAGAGGGTGGTAACACTAACTGTGGTGCTGGTGGCATTGGTGGTGGTGACAGTGAAGAAAGGTTAAGGAAGGAAACGATGGTGATGGTGGTGGTGGTCATGGTACCAGTGGCAATAATAGTGAGAGGAAATTGAGGGAGTGTTATGCTTTGGATCTTAATTAAATGTCTTCAAAAGTTATGTGCTTTATTGACAGCCTGTGGCACTATGAGAGTGGTGGAACCTTTAGAGGATGGGCGTAGTGGAAGGTCATGGGGGCATGGCCTTGAAGGAGTTATGGGGGCCCTGCCCTTTCTTGTCTGTCTTTTCTTCTTGACTGCTGTGAGGTGAGCAATGCACATTCTGCAATGATATTTCTGCCTTGCCATGAACCAAAGCCATAAGGTCATGCAACCATGTGCTAAAATGTCTGAAACTATAGGCCAAGGCAAGTCTTTTCTCATTGTAAGTAATTACCCCTAGTATTTTGTCATAGCAGTGGAAAACTAACACAGAAAATAGGTACCAAGAAGTGGAGTCATTGCTGTGACTATACTTTAATAGTATGGTTCAGGAAACTTGGGAATTGGTATGGAGGAGGAATTTGGAAAAGTTTGGCAGAGCAGGTTAAAAAGTGTTAGAATTCTGACAAGGTCTTATTAGGCAATTCTGACGGGAGGTCAGAAGACCAGAATGCTGATATGAATGTAAACAGTGAAGACATACCTGAGGTTTCAGATAGGAACGAGGACTATATTGGAAGTTGGACTGAGATCATTTGAATTATATGCTGGCAAAGAACTTGTCTGCATTTTGCACATGCCTTAAATCTTTGTAATTTTAAAGATGGCAGACTGGTCTCTCTGGCAGAGGAAATTTCAAGGTAGCACAGCATTCAAGCACTGGTCTGGGTACTATTGACTGCTTTTAGTCAGATTGACAATGAAAATTAGGCACAAAAGCAGAGTGAAAAGATTTTAAAAGGCTTGCATTTTGACTAGAAAAGGAACTAATATAAAGTTGTAGCCAAAGAGGGTCTGATTTCTAAGAGATTTATGCAATTAAAAGGTAGCCAAGTAGTTTGCACTGAAACAATTCGAAAAATACTTTGAGGGCATCTTGAGAATTTGCAAGACCCTATCCATTCCAAACCAAGCTCCAGAGCACCCTGTTCATATAGGCCTGCCTAGGAACCTTTTTCTAGAATTCATTTTCCTATAGTCAGTGATCCAGACACTCAAAGTTGCCGCAGCCTTATTCTAAGCTGGCCCAGCTACTTCTTGAGCAGTGGCATCATTCACCTCATGCTGGTTTTGCAGGCATAAGAGTGCAAAAGTTGTGCGATAGGATCATGGAGGCTTCCACCAAGATTTCAAAGGAAAGCCTAGGATGCCCACTCATACATCGCAGAGTCAAAGATTCTGTAAGCAGCCCCTGACCAAGTGATGTGTAAAGCTGTAAAAATGAAACAAAGCTGTAATGGAGACCCAAGGAAATTAGAGATGTCATGAATGCAGACTGCCTGCTCAGGGATGCTGTAGACAGACCAGAACAAGCCCAGGGCTATGGAGGTACAGCTGCCCAACTCCTTTTTACCTCAATGTACTCCAGGTACTGGATGTGGAGCTACAGTATTTAATGTTTGCCTTGGTGGGTTTTGGTCTCACTTTGGTCAAATCCTCTCTAACCCAACTCTTCCCTGCTGGAATGGAAATTTTACCTGGTGCCATTGTGTCTTGGAAGCATATAACTTGCTTCGTGATTTTCACAAGGACTCACAGGTAAGAGTTTGCCTTAAATCTCATGGGAGTCTTTGGACCTGAGCTTTTGAGCAATATTGTAACTTTCAAGGCTTTGGGAACTCTTGGAGGTGGACTATGTGTATTTTGCATTGTGAGATGGACATTAGCTCTTGGGGGGCCTGGGGCAAAATGCTGTGGTTTAGATTTTAAATGATCCCCCAAAGGCCATGCTCTAAAGGCTTTGCTGCCAGCCTGTGATGCTGTTGAACAGCGTAATCCTTAGAAAGTGGAAGGAAGTTATGGCATTGGGTCCTCCTCTCTCTTTGCTTCTTGGCTACCATGAAGTAAACAGACCTCCATCATCACACTTTTCACTACAGTCTACTACCTTGCCATAAGGCCAAAGCAAAACGGCCAATCAACCATGGATCAGAACCTCTGAAACCATGAGCCATAATAAATCTTGTCTCCTTTTTAAATTAATTATCTCAGGAACAAAAAGCTGACTAACATAGGGAAGTAGTGATGGTGCCGGTAGTGGTAATAGTGATCACAGTGGTGCTAGTGAAGGGGAAGGTGAGAAAGTTAATGGCAGTAGTGCTAGTGGTGATATGCTGGTGGTGGAAATAGTATGAGGATAGTAGTGATAATCGTGATGGTAGTAGTAATAGTTACAGTGATGATAGTGGTAGGAAGGTGAGCGAGGTAATGGTAGTGGTGACAGAAATGGTTATGGTGACTTTGGCAGTGGTGATAATGGCGAAGCAGGTTAAGGTGGTGATTGTAGGGATCGTAGTGATAATGTAAACTGTGATGATCATGATAAAAGGGTAGATGGTGATGCCGTTGAATGTTATGATGGTGATCACAGTGCTGGTGATGGAAAAGGCGGCAACGGTGGTGATCGTGGAGGTTATGGTGGTAGTGATGGTGGTGACCATGGTGATGAAGGGGCAGTAACGGAAGGAATAGGGATGGTGGTAATGATGGTGATGGTGGTTACAGCAGTAATGTTAGTACAACAGTACTGATGGTGATGATGGAGAAGGTGACAATGGTGATCATGAAGGTGATGATGCTATTAGTGATGGTGGCAGTAGTGGTGATGGCCACAAAGATGATGGTGGCGGTAAAGGAGAAGTGAAGATGATGGTGATGAAGGTGGTAGAAGTGGTAGAGGTGGTGGCTGTGGTGGTGAAGGGGAGGCAAATGATGGTAGCCATGATGGCCATGATGGTGATGAAGAGGATGGAGATAATGGTGGTAGTGATGTTGGCAGTGACAGTAGTACTGATGGTAATATGAAGGAGAAGGTAGTGATAATGGTGATCGTGGAGATAATTGTGGTAGTCATGATGGTGATGGTAGTGGTGGCAGTGATGATGATCATGCTAATGATGATGCTGGTGGTGATAATAAAGTATTGATGATGGTGCTGATGAAGGTGATGACAGCGGTGGTGGCAGAGATGATAATGAACCCTGTGGTTCATTTGCTCCTAAACCTTGATCAGTGAACTAGCAATCACTAACAAATAGGCTACCGTGTTCCAAGGATACAAAACCCAGTCTGACCCAGTTAAATGTTCTCACTTAAGAGATCAGTAAGCCTGAGAAGCCTTCTACAAAACTGTGCTGGTGATGATGTTTGTCAACTCAAATGGCCATAGTTTGCCAATCCTTCCCCAGGCCCATGAACTTCCTTAAAAATCCACTTCTCTCTATTTCTCCCAGGCTCCCTACGACCCAATATGTCCCCCCAGATACAGGACACCTATCTGAGGTGCCTGCCCCAAGGGTTCTAATCCTCATTTCATCCTTCTTTAAACATGAGCATTCCTAGCCAATATTCTGCGACCTTGAAGCTAATCTGAGTGAGTGCCAGATTGTCTCACCACAGCAAATTATCATAGATGTCAAATATTAACTCTAATTCAAAGGAATGGCTCTCATAATAGAACTTTACACACAATGACACATAAACAGACTAGATATATTGAGAGTTTTCTGTGACAAATAAAGGTTCTGAGAAAACTCAAATCCATTAGAATCTCACCATGTCAGCTCTTTCAAATGTAGAAAAAAGAACAGCTCAAATGTACTGGAGAAAAGATTAATAGCTCCAAGCACTGGACTAGGTGCTAGAAAGCAGCAGGCAAAGACAGACACCATCATAGAGATAGGGGCCTATAGCAGGGATCTTCAAACTACTGCCTGCTGGCCAAATCTGGCATCTATCTGGAATTGTAAATGAAATGTTATTAGAACACAGCCATATCCACTCATTTACAAATTTTCCATGCAAAGATGGCAGAGTTGAATAGTTATGGAAAAGATCATATGGCCCACAAAGCTGAAAACATCCCTAATCCTTTATAGAGTTTACTCATCCTGGTCTAGAGGATTAGCATACATCAGACAAAGAACCCAATAAATAGTAAAGAGAAACTTCTGAGGATAGAAAAATAGGCTGAAGAGGAGCCTGCTGTCTGAGGCAGAGTCTGACACAGCAACAGAAATGTCCCAACAGCCTAAAGAAGTGAGCGGTACCAGCAGGAAATCTCCACTCACAACCCAACCCACAGCCTGCCGACTGTGCCCACAAAAATGGTTGACCTGGAAATGTAGATCCTTCAGTATGGCCAGTCAGAGGGGAAGACACTGTCCAGGATGACACAGTGAGGTCAAGACAGAACCCTGGAACTCCTGGCTCTAATGCAAACGTGTGTCCCTTGTCAGAGGGAAATGTTGTCAAGCCACCAACATCCTTCCACATAGGATAACTGCGCCATGAATCATCCTTTGAGAAGAACAGCCGGATCCTGAGGAAAATCTCCTGGTGAGTCAGGGAGAGTCAGCGGAAAGTGAGGCCACTGCATTGCGTCAGGCCCTGAGAGGACAACCTTTAGGGCACTCAGCCAAGGGTCTGCAAACAGTAGGAAGAACACGCAGCCTGTGTCATCCAGGAGTGTTCATTCGGCAACTGACATGGGTCATATGTGGTCCCCACCCTAGGAAGAATCAAGGATCCCTTTAAGAGGCAAGCACGGGGCTGCAAGGATCTTCTCCCGGCTCCCTGTTCCTAAGGATGTAACTGGAGAGAAGGAAGTCTCTATTTATCAAGGTCAGAGCCTGGGGCCTTTGTTTACAGACCTGGAGACACAGTGAGAGCCAGCCCTGGAGTCCACACATATGCATCAGAGTGGCTTTGGGCTTTAAGACGTTCTGTCCAATGTGGGGCTCCTCAGAACCCCTAACTCTGATCTAATCATCAGAAAAACATCAGATAAATTCCAACAGAAGTGTGTCTTACAAAATTCCCAACCAGGATGCCTCAAAACACTATCAAAAAAGGGACTTTTCAAAATGTTATCAAAGACAATAATGAGAAACTGGAACAGCCAAAACGAACTTAAAGAACGTAACAATTAAATGCAATGGGAAATCTCAAATGTGGTATTGGAACAAGAAAAGACATTACATTTTTTTTTTAAAAAAAAAGGAATTCTACAAAAATAAGGACTTCAGTTAATAATAATACACCACTGTTGGTGTCTTTGTTATAACACATGTGCCATATAATGTAAGGGAGGATCTGGGGAGGAAAAGGAGCAGGCACACAGGAACTCACAGTCTTCTCCACTTTCTGTAAATCCAGACACTGTTCTAGAAAACAATGATTACTCAAGAAAAATGGGAAAGGGAGGGAACCAGAGCTTAACCGCACATGAAGCCTGAGGCCCAGTTCCAATGCACAGACCCAGCCAGAGCATTCTCCCTTGCTGTCCCTGCCTGGTGAATCTTATCACATGTACCAGGAACCTAGTTTGTAAAGTGCCATCTTATCCCAGCCTGAGCAGCTCACATAAGGCCCCAGACCGTCCCTTCACTTTGAGCCCCTCTGTGCCTGTGCGCCAGAGGCTACAGAACTCCTTTTCCCCTCCATCTGCTTATCCTAGTTCTGGACCCAAAGCTTTGGGTCCACCTGTCCCCACCACCACCACCACAGTCCTGTTCCAGTTGCCATCACCAGTCACCACCCACCTTCTGCTCACCCAGGGAAAGCGTCCTTCCTCCCTGCCTTCCCTCTCTCAACTTCCAGGCTCTTCTCCACACTCTAACATTTGGCTTCCTGTCACTGTTCTCAGCCTGGGTTCCAATGATTTCATTGCTGCTAAGCCCAGGAGACATCATCTAGACCTCATGGGATTGGACCACAGCCTTGTCGAGTCTCCCTCTTCTCTCCTGAGACTCCACATTCTCACAACTTTCCTCCAGCCCTTCTGATAAGCCCTCTTGGGACAGCCACCAAGGCTCTCACTCTGCCTTTGAGTGCTGCCTGGCTTCAGCCTCTCAGACTTCAAGACTTAGTCTTGAGAGCCAAGACAGGGTCTTTACTACTTCTGTGTCCCTAATGTGGGACCTGGCACTATTTATTAAATTAAATTCTATTTTTCTGGATATTTTAGGGGCCAGGGATTTAGATCAGCAGCTTAAGTGGGTATTTTAATCATCTGGAATAGTACTTTTTTATATGCATGAAACATGTATTGCCTAATATTCTCTATGATTCCATATTTGGCAAGTTCAGCACTCTTAACCTTTGAATATCTTTTAACTTGTAGATCGTTAATAACACAGCAACTAGAATTTACTGAAAGCCTGTTCTGTGCGAAGTGCTTGACATACGTTATTTTCCAAATCTTATGCCAAATCATAATAGCACATATTCCAAAGAAAAATGTTTCACTAATCTAAGAAGTACAGGAAATCGTGGGTTTAAAAAAAAGGTCACTTTCTGAAGGACTAGACATTATAAATCTCCAAGGAGGGGGCTGGGGATTTAGCTCAGCGGCATAAGTGCCTGCCTTGCAAGCAGGCAGTCGTGAGTTCGATCCCTGGTACCGATAAAAAGGAAAAAGACCAAAAAAAAAAAAAAATCTCCAAGGAGAGAACATTCTATGATTCGTTCTAAAACCAAATTGATGAGAACAATTGAGACAAGTGACCCTCCTGGGAAAAGGTCCTGTTGTATAGCATTTGGCAATCCCAGTATGGCAATCCCATCAATGTCCTCTCTCTCTGTGCCTGGTTTCGGGCTACAACAGGACACCACTGAAGGCAGAGTTGGGAGATATGCCTGGGAGACACACGCTTCCTTAGCATTCCCATCATACCCATACAAAAGGCATAGACAACCTCAAGGGCATAGTAAAATCTTGTAAAATAATGAAGAAGTCAGGAATTCTGAGTACTTGTGACCTTCTTTTTAAATGTGATCTATTTTCTTCTAAGTTTATATAATTTAATTGTCAATAACAGCCAGCTCACACATATTCCTGAAGCTTTAAGCTGACTCTGGAAAGCCCCACTGACACAACCCGTCCCCAACACCCCACTGACGGAAACCCCATTTTTGTATGCAACAGCAAAGAGGCCAGTTTTCCTAGGATATTTTTCCAAAACTGCTGCTCTATTCATTACAGCAGCTTGACTTCAGAAGTTATATTAGCTCCATTTTACCAACAAGGTAACAAGTCTCCCCATGCACCAAGATACTCTTCCACTCAGAAAATAGCTTCAAGGGTCTGCTGTGCTTCAGACACCATTCTGGGCACAGGACACAGTTTGGCAACTCACACCAGCATGGTGTTTGTGTCATTTGTCTGAGAACACCTCACTAGTGATCCGTGGGAGGTTTACTGTCACACTTGGGATTCTTGGTCTGTACCACATACACACACACACACTCATACCCATGCACACATGCACACCATGCTACGTGCACCTACACCTATCCATGTGCGCACACAGCCACACTGCCTGTTCTCAACTCATGTTGCATCTTCTTTCCAGATCAAGTCAAGTGTGAACCGCAAGAATGCCAAATATGTGCTCAAAGGGGAGGCGGCGAACAACATTTTCAAGGTCAATCCAGACACGGGGGATGTGTTCGCTTTCGCAAGGCTTGACCGGGAGAAAGTCTCCTCGTACCCCCTTGTCGCCCTCATCGTGGACAAAGACACTGACAAAGACCTTGAGTCTCCTTCCAGCTTCACTATCAAAGTTCATGACATAAATGACAACTGGCCTGTGTTCACGCAGCAGTTATTCAATGCTTCGGTGCTGGAGATGTCACCTGGGGGTACGTGCCCATCCTGTCCCTCCCCTCCTCTCTCACTCATCCCCAGCCTGGAAGTAGCTCTTACTTTAGTCATTTCAGTGCCTGAGGTCAGATCCCAGCAAGTTCAGCGCAGTGGTTATAGTGCCCGTGCTGCTACTTTATAGTCTTTGAAAAACTAGACTCTAAAACCTAAGCTGGGACTTACTCCCAGGCTGAGCTCTGATCCTAGACACAAACTGAGCCCTAGTCCTCCCTCAGCATGGACTGAGCTCTGGTCATCAGAGACATGTGTGTCTCATTACTCTTTATAACAACTCTCTCTCGCTGCCTCTAATTCCCAGGACTGATACACCAAGAATGTAGCTTTTGCCCCTAAATTATGACAAGCCCTGTCACCGACAGAAAAATCACTTCTAGAGGCTATGTAGTGGTGGCAATAGAGGACAGACCCCTGATCCTAAAGTGTATTATCAGCCTAGGCCTGGGCTCAGGAAGTCACTGCTCTCTTCTTTAATCCTAAACCCAGAGGGTACCAAAAATCATCTTCCCTCTCCTCCTCCTTAGTCCAAGATCCCTCTCGGAGTGTGGGGCCAGACCCTTCCTGGTCTGTGTGAGGGGATGAGAAGTGTGACACTGCCCCTTTGGGGTCAGTCCCATTTCCTTCCCTGTCCCTTGTTCTCATCCTTTCTGGAAATGGAGGAATGGCCCACTCACACACACAAACACATACACACACACACACACACACACACACACACACACACACACACACTTCTACATAAGCACAAGCTACTTGTTCTTTTCCTCAATAAGTTTGACCTACAGAGCCAACACTGCCAGCATGTTGACCTTGTACTAGGCTCTCAGCAAACCAAGGGACCTGGGAGGTGGGGACAGCAGCGCCAATCTGCCCTCACTCAGGAATGGGATGAGAAGACACTGTCACAAGGTAGTAACCCCAGGATCCTCTCTCCACAGGGACCTCAGTCATGCGTTTGACAGCAGTAGATGCAGATGACCCCACCGTGGCAGAGCACACCACTGTCATGTATCAAATCCTGAAGGGGGGTGAGAATTTTGCCATCGACAATTCAGGTCTGTGTGACTAACCTCCCTGGGTGGGCACCAACAGGAGGGATGGGGGAGTGGAAATGCTCCAGATGCAAATGCCAGAGCAATCCAGCCTGACAGCTGTCACAAACCACTGAACCACACTGATCCGTGGGAGTGATTGATACATGCATAAAGACAAGAAGAGACGCTAGTTGGGGAAAACAAAAGCAAGACATCCAAAACATGGATTCAAGTCAGAGGGACAAAACCAGGTTCTTGTAATCCAAGCAGTGGCGGAGAGGCCCCAGAGAACGCTGATTAGCAGTTTGTTACACAGACAGGTTCAGACTGATCTGGTTTCTAAACCCAGCACTACTCACCCCTGCAGAGACTTTCAACAAATCTACTAAGATCTGTGAGTTTCAGTTTCCTAATCTAAAAAGCGGGACTGTTTTTAACTCATCTCGTATAGTAGGAAGTGTGAATTATGGAGAGAACATAACCACATAGTTTTCTGTGACTTTATTCTTATGAGAAAAACTTCACAAATTAAGTTTAACAGAGTTTAATTGAATAATGAACAATTCATGATCAAGAAGTCCCAGAACCAAAACAAGCTCAGGAAAACACATGGTTAGATAAAATTTAAGAACAAAGAAATTTAAAACAGAGCCGAAGTCCATAAACAGGTGAACTGGTTACAACTTGGGTTTTTGCCTTATTTGAATAGAGGTAAACAGTTTACCACCTGTGACTGATGCAAACACAGCCATAGTGATTGACTGAATATAGTCTTAAATTAGATTTTCCACTCATTTACATACTAAGTAACATTGTAGTTTGTTACAAAAAGACTCAAACAAGTACGGATGTTTTCTCTGGCCAAATTTAGTTTGATTTAACAGACTTTAAAACTTTAAGGACTACATTTTGGAACCAAGAAGGCTAGTTGAATAGACTGGGGCACCTATTTTTGAGAAAAACAGCAAATATACAGAACAGATGCTACCACGATCCTATGGTACACCAGAGCAGACATCACTAATCCATCATAGCATCCTTTCATTCTGTACCTGAGTGTGGCTTCCTAATGTTTCTCAACACAGTGTTCCGAGTGGCTAGGACCAAGTCAGATCATGCTCTTTGGCCAGTTCTTTAGCTGCACACTGAAATTGCTCAGTTCTCTCTAGAAAGGGCCCAGGAATGCATATATTCTCAAAGCTTTCCAGGTAACATGGCTCTTGAAAACATTTTTTACAGGATTAATTACCACTACAAAGCAAAACTTGGATCGAGAAGTACAGGCCAGGTACGAGATCGTGGTGGAGGCACGAGATGCCCAGGGCCTCCGAGGAGAATCAGGCACAGCCACCGTGCTGATCATTCTGCAAGATATCAATGACAACTTCCCCATCTTCACTCAGCGTGAGCCCCTCCCCTAGGGCCCTGGGCAGGTGGGAGTTGGGATTCTCCAACTTAATGATTTTGGAGTCAAGGAGAGGTTCCCCAAATCCATCTACCTCTCTTCCACCCCAGACAAATCATTGAGGTGTGGGAGGGGCCCTGTTTCTATCCCTGCACCACACTTTCAAACCCATCATTTCCTGGTCATGGTCTTGCCACAGGCCAGAGGGTGATCACACTTCCTCCTGGATACCACCACTGTGCCCAGAGCAAACTAGGAGATAGGAACAGTTTCACCCAGACTCCATGGGCGCAGGAAATCTCAGGCTCCAGTTAGAAAACCCCCATGAGCCAACGAGCAGGGGTACAGCCCAGACTGGGTCCTGACCCCACTCACAAATTGATTCTGCCTCAAAAAATGTCTGACCAGAACTCTTCTCATGCCATGAGTGAGGTTGTGTTCATTGCAGCCTCCAAGTGCTGATATAAATCAGAGGCTCACCCAGCCCAAAGATAGGCCAGTTCTCCTGAAATGGCCTTGTGGGCATGGTGTAAGCCCCCCAAAGGCCAGACCTATCTCTTTGATCAATTGATTGATCCCCTAGCAAAGTGCCTGTCACCATCGGGTGTTTAATAACTACTTGTTGGATGAATGGAGGGAGGGATGGATAGACAGAATACACTGCTTTGCCTTAGGACTCAGAATCCCAAGGGTATTAATAGTATTCTTACTGCCTTTATTTAATTGCATCATTTCTCGTATCACAATATAGTAGGATAGTATGCTTTGTCTATCTTGTTGACTCGATGCTGTTTGGGGCATCTATTTGCAGCGGCCGTGTACACATTTGAGGTACCTGAAGACACTCGTGTGGGCAGCTCTGTGGGCTCTCTGTTTGTTGAGGACCCAGATGAACCTCAGAACAGGATGACCAAGTTTGAAATCGTGCAGGGCGAGTACAGAGACACCTTCTCCATCGAGACAGACCCCACCCGCAACGAGGGCATCATCAAGCCCAAAAAGGTTTGTAGGACTGCAAAAATGACATCAGACATAGATCTTGGTGCTCACAAGGTCCACAGGACCTGTCCAGAGGCTCCCCCTGAGCCAGAAGCCATCAGTGGAGAACACTCAGGATTGGCCCGGTGTTGACTGTGCCATGGAGACTCACACAGTATCTCAAGCAGGGTTACTCCCAGATAGACCTAGAGGCAGTGATTTGGGTATGACTTGGGAGGTGACCCCAAGAAGTCCAAGGAGAAATGATAGGTTAAGTAAAAAGTAGGTAGTATGGAACTCATCAATGAGCAGGTAGAGAAGTAGGGCCCAGCCTCATGCAGGATACCTGGAGACCATGTAGAACCTGTCTCAGAGCTGCAGCAGCTGAGGAAAGGAGCTTGGGTGTTGATACAGCAACCCCTCGAGTGTTGATGGATCACTGTTCCTGAGACACTGACTCCCTGGCATCTTCTGAGTGGCCCTGTGTCTCAGCCAGTTGAAAGCCACCAACAGATAGGAAAACTAAACATGCCAGGGGACACAAGTAGCCATAGAACATGGTTACTGTTGACAGAAGGCCAGACTGAATTGGAGGATGTGGGAGGAGTCCTGGGAGGGCATCAAAGTGCCTCTAGAATGTTTTCGAAGAAGGCTGGGGATCCAGAACCTGAATCCTTCCTGGGGCAGCCCCATCTGGATACCAGAGACACAAGGGGGAGACATGCAGCCTCTAGAATCCACGAAGCATTCAGTGATCAGGGAAGGCTGATGCATGTACCCCCTAAAATATAACTGCAGTTCCGTGCTACAGAGCAATATCAGGCAGGGGGGCAGTTCTTCTTCAGCAGGGGACTCTAAGAGGACATGTGATTACCTTCTCGTTGACTTCTTGAGGAACGAATAGGAGTTTGCCACATGGGCAAGCACAGGAGAATCCTCTTGAGCAAAGATGTAAAGAAAAGGCAGGACAGTGAGAGCCTGACAGTGGCTCACCCACGAATTCATGATCCACTTGAGAGCAGGACTGTGGCTGATGGACCACATGGCCTCTATACTTGGCACAGAGCCAGGGCTAGGAGCTGCCCTGAGACTGGTGAAATGAAACAAAAGAGTTAAAGATAAGCACCAGGCCCGGGTACTCTCTTAATGACCTTGGAAATACCACTATCCAGATTACAGTGTCCAGCAGATGTCATTCTAGTAGCACCTTGTAGGATGCCTGACAATCATATGGTGTATGCTTGACTCAAGGCAGGTATCACTGTGTTTTTTCCTTCTGTAGCCCCTGGACTTTGAGTTCATCCAAAAATACTCCTTTGTCATCGAAGCTACAGACCCCACTATCAACCTCAAATACGTGAGAGGCCTCTCTGGCAAAAACAAAGCCCAAGTCATCATCAACATCTTGGATGTGGACGAGCCCCCTGTCTTCCAAAAGCGCTTCTACCACTTCCGGTTGAAGGAGAACCAGAAGAAACATCTGGTCGGTTCGGTGCTGGCCAAGGACCCCGACAAGGCCGGGAACAAAATTGAGTAAGGAGAGTGGGCATGTGAATGACCACGACAGGGACCAGCAGAGCTTTGATGGTCTTATTCCTGCTGATCTGAGCCCAAAACTCAGAGAAAGAAACTGGCTGCTCCCACACTTGCATGGGAAGTGGCAGAGGCAGGACTAGACATCTGACCCCTTCCCACTAATGTTCATGGCCTCCTGCGGTCTCATCCTGCCACGGCACCCCACCCTGCATGGCTTACAGCAACTATTTTAATTTTACCCACATGACATTTTCCAATTTATCCCATTTCAACGTTTGGCTCTTAGTTCCATGTTGCCTGGCTTTGATTTTGCCAATCCTGTTTCCGTGTTCTTCTTATTTGCCTGATATAAGTTGTCCGCCCTTCACTTTTAACATTTCTAGGTCGTTTCACATTAAGTTGTCTCTTGGAAACAGAATACTCTTAGGTTTGTTTCTTAATGTAAACTGCCAAGCTTCTGTGTTCAACCTATTTACATTTTTCGTCATAAGTATTATGTTTGATCTTACTTCTTTTATCTCTTTGTTTTATATTTCTCAGTTGTAAGTTTTTTCTTGGTTCTCATCTGTGCTATAAAATTCTTTCTCTCTCAGATATGTGGATGGATTGCATACATTAGAGCTTCTACCAATGAGATTTATATCCATCTATGAACATTTTAAATGTTTTTCTAAAGCATACACACACACACACACACACACACACACACACACCACCGCTTTTATATATATGATAAAGAAATTAATAGCTTCATTTGAAATCCTCCAAACCAGATTTTTACTTTTTAATAAGACTTTTTCTAGGGTAAGTTTTCTCAAAAAAATTTAAGTATATCACCCACTGATTTTTGTGCGTGATATATTTCCTTAGTTCTTGCATATTTACCAAAAAAAAAAAAACCTTAGTCCTTTCTTTTTTTAAGACCTGAGTATCCTCATGCATCTTCAGATTATAGATTCTCTCCTTCAAAATGCTATTAGTATGTTCTAACATTTAATTTTGTGGGGTCATCTAGCTTAATAACGATGTCTCTTTCTTCAAAAGGAATTTTTTTTTACTGAGCTTCTGAGCTCGTTAGTTTCTTCACGTAATGTGAAATTCCACCTAAACATTTTCTAAAATTATGCCTGATATCAATGACACCTTTTAATCTATAGACTCAGATCTTTCTTCAGATGAGGAAAGTGTTCTCTTTTTATATTTTTGTCATATCTTATGGTAAGTTTGATCTTGAAGCTTCCTCAGTAATAGCAAAAATTTTCATTGCGTGTATGTGTGTGCGTGTGTGTTTATGTGTGTGTGTGTGTGTGTGTGTGTGTGTGTGTGTGTGTGTACACATTCATCTCTTTTTTTTTCCTGGAAGGTTTCTTCACATTTTTCATTCCCAAATTTCTCTATTATTATTTTTATCTCTTCCAGCTCTTTTTGCATTTCCTCCTGGCTATTGCTCACATATCTTTTCATTAATCAAAGCAAACAACCTCAACTGTGATATGGTTGACTACGGTGTCACCTGCTTAGCTCTGTGACTGGTGACGTCTCAGGAACCTCATTCACTCCTAGCTCTGCAGTATCACCCAGACCAGATCTCACCTCATGACGCCGAGTCCTTTGGTGTCGATATTGAGTCTAAGCCACTGGAGAGGAAGCTGGGGAAGGGTGGTGGGGACAGACCCTGAAGAGCCTCTGTCATGCTGAGAATTTTGACTTAGTTAAAAAATAATAGTGGAAAACCATAAAACCCTCTCCTTGGCAGATACACCATCCGCAAGACCAGCGACAAGGGCCAATTCTTCCGAATAACCAAGCAGGGTGACATTTACAGTGAGAAACAACTGGACAGAGAAATCCACCCCTGGTACAACCTGACTGTGGAGGCCAATGAGCTGGATTCTAATGGTGAGTAGCCCCATCTCGCAGAAGGCTTGAGCTCTTCTTTGTTTCTCCCATTCTTCCAAAATGGCCATCATCTGTCACTTGGGATCACTAGAGGTATTACAAGCTCTGATGAAGCACTCTTTGGCTATGTCACCGGAGACTTTTCTAGAAGTGTGGACTCTTACTTCCATCCTAGGCTAAATAAAAATTTTATGCCTATCAAGAGTTTGAGAAGCACTGTTACAAAACTGGGAATGTAGTATAGATGCTCCTGTGATGAAAATTATCTAAGGTACCTGCTAGACACTGGGCTTCTCAGACTCTTCCCTGAGGATTCTGATCCAGTGAACAAAGATGGGGACAAGGATATACACTATCAAGCACCACATGGTTCTGATTACCAAAGGTGTTTGCAAAATGCTCTTAGGTGGCATAGCTGTTTGCACTGGTTAATGGGCTAAAATCAAAATCTGAAGCAGCTTTCAATTTGAGGTTGTTAGATTTCCAAAAATTATGTAGTTTCTACCTGAGGCAACGGCAAGTGTCAGGGGCTTTGTAACTCTGACATATATGAGGAAATCACAAACAGCCAGAAGAAAAACTAATATTCACATGATCCCTAGGATCTCACTGGGGTACAGAGAGAAGTAAATTTTTATTTAAGTAATTACATAACTGTTTCATTATTAAATTATATTTATTAATTGAATTAAAATGTTTTAAAATGCACTTAAATTGTTTACCTTTTTAATCTTACAGGTCATGTAAATTTTCTCATATAAATTTCCTACATGTTAGCAAATGTCCTTATGTCTGAAGATTTACCCCACCCCATCTTCCTCCACTTTCCTTTATCCAGAATGTCATCCCTGGTCTCTCTTCCAAAGGTCTATAGTGCCATCTTCCTGCAAAGAGTGACCTCCACCAGACATCCTGCCAATCTACCCATCTAAACATCTTTCACCCCGCAGAGGCCAGCATCAGCTGAGCCCACTGTGGTGACAGTGCCTTCTCTCTGCAGGGAAACTCACGGGGAAAGAATCTATTGTGCAGGTCCACGTTGAAGTTTTAGATGAGAATGACAATGCCCCAGAGTTTGCTCAGCCCTATGACCCAAGAGTGTGTGAGAATGCAGTCCAAGGCAAGGTGAGTCTGGCTGAGTGGGAGGGAGACAGTGTCCCCGGGGACAGATTCAAGGGCAGAGTTCCACTGAGCTTAATGGAAGGTGCAACAGCACTGAGAATGTACGGTTACCCCATTTTACAGCTAGAGAAAGTGAGAGATTCCTGGAGAGAAGTTTAGTGGGGGTAGGGGCATACAGGACAGTAGTAGAAGAAATGGCCTTGTGGAAACCATCCAGTTAGGTGTTGCAGCTGAGCGACAGCTATGCTCAGGTCTAAACTCATAGTCTCTATTGCTGAACCCCAGACCACCCGAACACAATGACCAACCCCTGTCTCCCACATTCCAGCTTGTTGTGCAGATCTCCGCAGTAGACAAGGACGTAACTCCACAAAATGTCAAGTTCAAGTTTGCCCTGGGCACTGACAACAGCAACTTCACCCTCATAGACAATCGCGGTAAGCATCTATCCGAGCAATGAGCTGGCTCCTAGCAGGGTGGAGTGAGGTTGAGTCTGAAAGCACTAAAGTTAAGGACTAGGCCAACAAGGGGTGACAAGTCTTCATGGGGATTTGCATATCATGAAGTATTTTTTTGTGCAACTCCTGTCACACACACTGCACACTGGTTCAATGATCAGAGTCACCCTGGCCAAACTGCCCACTCCATGTGGTCTCCCAAAGATGCTCAGGTCAGGAGGAATGCAGAATAGATATGACAGTGCAGACAGCCTGGTCAGCTTACTAGCCAGTTGGGTGTTTTTCCACACCAGCAACTCCGGGCTTTGGTGCCTCACTGAAATTACAAATTGCTATAGGACATAGAATTTTGAGGTCACCACCAAAGCATGCATACTACAAATAAGAAGTCATAAATCCCAGAAATACAGTAAATTTTAATTCAGTTACGATGGCTGCTTACCACCAAGTGGCCCCTAAACAGGATCTGGTCCACCAGTCACCGCACAGCACAGCACATCTGGTTGACCAAAGTTCAGAGAGTCCTGTGAGGTCAGTAGTAACCAATTGGCTCTTCTAATGAATACGTGCTTATCCAAGTGATGATGGTAAGCTGATTTAAGCTGATTTAAAGATAAGGAACCTCTGAAATTTCCTCAGGAAAATAGAGAAAATCTTATTTAGGCCTAAGGGGGGGGGGGCTGTCTCTGTTTGTCCCTGGTTGGCAAGACTATTGCCATCTTTGGAGAAGGCTAGGGAACAGGGCTCAGAAACTTAGGGTCAGACCCAGAGTCACATGATCAGTTACAGAGTCACCATGTGAGGCCATGAATGCTCCTGAGGAAGGCTGCGTGCACACATGGATGCAGAAACTGGCCATGATGTGCTGATAACTGATGACAGACAATCCAACACTCAGGCGTCTTGAGTAGTGTCTTAGTTACTTTTCTCACTGGAGAGAAAAAAAATACCCAACACTCAATGTTAAAGGAGGAAAGGTTCATTTCAGCTCACAATCTGTAGACGCTTCAATCCCTAGTCAGCGGGCTCCAAGGCAGGGCAGCACGGTGGAGGGGCATCACAGAGGAGAAAGAGTTAATGGTGTGGCAGGAGGAAGCAGCAAGCAGCAGTGTGGCAGTCTGCCCTCCCTCTCTCCCTTTATATTCCATCTAGGCTACAGGCCTACTGATTGGTGCCATCCACACTCAGGATGGGGCTTCCATTATCCACAGCCTGAATCCCAGCACCACACCTTTAATCCACATTCACACATCCTAGTCTGGCCGCCTCCCAAACTTCCCACCTATGACTGCATGAGGCTTTGGGAGAACGTCTAGCTGCAAGCCATAAGTAGTAAATAATATATCAGAACTCCCTGTCATCCAACCCCCAATGTCAACCTGAAATGGACGTGGTAGTGCAATGAGGTAGAACACTTAAGGGCCTCCCCAAAGACACCCCAGATGCAGTCAGGAGATGAGCGTGTTGGTCTGAGTCACTTACATTCTGAATGTCAAAATCTCTAATTTCTCCCATGAAGTGTCAATGGCATATAACTTATTTTCAATCATAATAGACTTAAAACTGAAATGAAATTACAGATAATGAAATGGAATTGGCTTTCATTCGCAATTCTTGACTTTCACCTGGCTCCCAAGTGTTCCTTCCTGAGTGGCTAAGTAAATCCTCAAACCATCAACTTCACAACCTCCCAGGAATCTGCAAAGGGCAGAGTACTCTGTGGTGTGTGTGTGTGTGTGTGTGTGTGTGTGTGTGTGTGTGTATGCGTGTGTGTGTGTGTGTGTGTGTATGCGTGTGTGTGTGTGTTGTCACAGTGAAGTGAAGGGAGGGGCCTAAAAATCAGGATGCTTATAAAGCTCTCTGGGGGATTCTTATGTCAAAAATGAGTGACTATGCCTCAGTAGGGGTGACAACTGTTTGGACAAAGTACACTGCCCATTGCAGACTGCCAAGGAGCCCTCAGTGACAAATCCAATCATTCTCTCCGTCCCCCAGGGAATGAGGGCATTATTTTTACTGCTGCAATCTCCTTTATAATGATAGATTTTCAGAGATAGCAAAAACAGTTCTAGAAGCTAGGCTAATGCTAAGCGACATTTCCCAATTGCTTGCGAAAGTTTGAAATACTAATTAGTCGTGCCAGTGAAAAGTCCCTGTAATTGCAGTGGGGTTGGGGAAAACAAGGGCATATGTGTATCAGTTGACCACACAGGAAAGCGAGGATTTTACTCTCTGGCTTAGCCATTCTTCCAGGCTGGGTCAAGGCAGCCACCCCAAACATCTCCTCCGCAAGGAAAAGGCTTGTGTGCACATGACTAAAACTGGAGAGTAAATGCAACAGGCAGGGATCAGCAAGGACCTGGTGTGGCGAAGGAGGGCTCACTGGAGGAGGAGGCAGCTGTTCCATGGTATAAGACACTCCCACACAGCTCACTCTCTGGCCTTGGTGATTCCAGATAACACGGCCAACATCACAGTCAAGTATGGCCCATTTGACCGGGATCATGCCAAGTTCCACTACTTGCCTGTGCTCATCTCGGACAATGGGTCCCCAAGCCTAACGAGCACCAACACACTGACTGTGGTCGTGTGCAAGTGCAACCAGCAGGGCACGTTTACCTTCTGTGAGGAGGCGGTCGCGCAGGTGGGCGTCAGCATCCAGGCACTGGTGGCCATCTTCCTCTGCATCCTCACCATCGCAGGTCAGTGTCTTATGGGCCGGCCAGGGACACCTGGGGCTTCCCTCTGCAGAGCACTGGGGCCAGGGTACCACCTCAGCCTCAGGGCTCCAGAACTTCAGCCACCTGGCTGCCGGGGGGGGGGGGGGGGGGGACAGGGTGCAAGACCCCTCCCCACTCTTCCAGCAACTCCACTTCAAAATAACCAGTGAATGGTGGGGGCAGCCTGGGGCTAGAGCGCTTGCCTAGCATATGTGAGGTCCTTTTTTTTTTTTTTTTTTTTTTTTTTTTTAATTTAAAAGGAAAAAGAGAAAAACACAAAACAAAACAAAGCGGTGTAAGGGTACACGTAATACAGAACTACAAAAAAAAAAAACAGTAAGAAATCACCTGTTAATAGATTACATATTATCATCTTAGAAATAGTTGCTCAAATCACAGTATCAAAGATTACAAAGTGGACATTCAAACAGAGAGACTGCAAACAGCTGTGTTCAATGATCCAAAAACAATAATATAGGTGAGGTCCTTGATTAGATACCCAGCATCACACACACACAAAAAAAATAGTAATAATAAGCTATTTTTGGCATGTATGCATTCAGTGTCAGTAAACACATTTTGAAAACTTACTCTAAGCCAAACACTGTTCTGGGCATTTATTTACATAAAACCTATTTTTAATTTCAAAAAATGCTAAAATGGAAAGTTTTAAAACTCTTCGTTTACATTGTCACCAGGCTTTATTTTTTCATCTTACAGAACTCTTCCAGTTTTGATATTTATTTACTTTTCCTCCTTTGGGGCTCATGTGTATTTAGAGCATTCCAAGGGCTCAGGAAGCAGATGCTGGGTGCAAGTGGCTTTTTGGAAAGTGCTCCCTGGAGACCCCCTAAGGAAAGAGAGAAGAGGGCAGCTTGTGAGGCTGAGTTGTCACCAGAGTTATCTGCGGTGACGGCTTCCTCCCCATGAAGGGCAGAGAGGCACCAGCTCCGGTCCTGATGGCTGCAGGACCCTCCCAGGGGTGTGGGTTCTCCTGTCATTTACCTGCCAGGGGGACTCAGCAGTCAGCCCTCGGGGATCAGATCGGCCTGTGCACCACATCACCTGCTGTGAGGCAGGTTTTCCCTGCCAGTGGCTGCCCAGGTATGCCCCCTCCCAGGGCTTCTGTGACACCCCCAGTTAATAATAACAATAATGGCACCCACAGAATTGATTTGGCCTCCAGACCATCCTCCCAAATATAAGCAGAGCAGAGACATCATCATTTCCATTTTACAAGGAAACTAAGGCTCAGGTTGGGGACTCCCTGGGCACCCCAACTTCCCTCAGGTATGTGACAGCTTGTAAAGTACTTGAGGCTGAGACAGAGCCCAGGGAGATGACCTGAGCCCAATTTTGGAGGTTGTCTATGTTACATAGTCCACCCCTGCAGGGACATCAAAGACCCACACACAGCTGCACCTCAGGGCCTCCAGCGCTGCCAGGAGCACCAGCATCTGCACCACTACCTGGCCACAGCACTCTGGGCTCAGTCAGCTCAGCTGTAAAATAGGAATAATAGTACTTATGCTGGACGGGACATGGTGGCTCACACCTGTAAAACCAGCCACTTGGAGGGCACGGGGGAGCTCAGGCAGTTGGGTCACAAGATCAAGCCCAGCCTGAGAACCTTAGCAACTTAGTGAGCCCTGACTTAAGGAATTTTTTTAAAAGGCTGGGGATGTGGCTTGGTGTAGGCCCTGTCTTCAATCTCCAGTACCACAATAAATAAATTAATAAATAAGAGAATGTAGCTCGGTGGTAGAGCATTCCTGGCTTTAAATTCCAGTACCACCAAAAAAATAAAATCTACACTGAGTGAGGTATTATTAGCATCTGCCTGGGTAATGCCAGGTAGTCTATAAAGTAGGTGCTCAGAAGAGCGGGTGCTGCTACGTCGTGTCTATCAGCACAGTTATCCAGCTATTATCATCACAGTTTCAACAAAGCAATAGTTCAAAATCCTGGCACCTGAAGTTCCAGCTCTGCCCCTTTCTGCCATTCTTACCCCACCTGTGGTCTCCTGGCTTTTGGAGATGACATGCATGAAAGGGTGTGCCATCCTGGCATGAGGGGACAGGAAATAAAGATTCGAGTCACGGGGTGCAGACTGCAGAAGCAAATGGACTTCAGGAAGCCCCACCCTGTTCCTCCCCTCCTCTGACTTCAGCCTGTGGAGACCAAGAGTGTGGTTGGGGTGGGGACCAGGAGCCTGTCTCGTGGGTAGGGGGTGGACCCACCAGGTGTATGGAACACACCAGTCCTGGAGGAGTCCCTTGAGCCCAGGCTGGGCCCGGAACTTGGGAGCCAAAGAAGGATAGATGAATGCAGGGACTCCTCCCGCAGCCTGTCTGACCCTCTTCTGTCTCTCCCTGGTGACCAGTGATCACCCTGCTCATCTTCCTGCGGAGGCGGCTCCGGAAGCAGGCTCATGCCCACGGCAAATGCGTGACTGAGATCCACGAGCAGCTGGTCACCTACGACGAGGAAGGTGGGGGCGAGATGGACACCACCAGCTATGATGTGTCCGTGCTCAACTCCGTGCGGTCTGGCACCACCAAGGCCCCACTGTCCATGATGGACGCCCGGCCACCCATGTACTCCAAGGTGCAGAAGCCGCCGCGGCTGGCGCCTGGGATGCACGGTGGGCCTGGGGAGATGGCCACAATGATTGAGGTGAAGAAGGATGAGGCAGACCACGACGGTGGGGTCCCGCCCTATGATACACTGCACATCTACGACTACGAGGGTTCTGAGTCTATCGCAGAGTCGCTCAGCTCCCTGGGCACTGATTCGACCGACTCTGACATTGATTATGACTTCCTCAATGACTGGGGACCCAGGTTCAAGATGCTGGCAGAGCTGTATGGCTCCAACCCCTGGGACGAGATGGTATATTAGGGGTCACAGAGCTCTGACCCTGGGAACTAAAACCCACAGCAGCCCCAGCCAGTCAGACAGTAGACATCAAACCTTCCAGAGTGGCACTGACTCCCCAGCCCAGCAGTCCTTCCTTGTGGGTGCCAAAGACCTTACCATGCCCAGGGAACCAAGCTCCAGACCCCTGAAATACCCAGGAATGTATTTCAGTGATGGCTACTCCACAAATGCTGGAAAAGCAGGGCTACTGTACTGTTGACAATGGAATATCACTATGCCACAGATCTAACTCAAAGACATTCTTTGGCTGGGCAAAGCTGCCAGGCCAATCAGCCTGGGTTCAACTGCCAGCAGAATCTTCCCTTGATGTCACTGAAGGCCCTGGGTGAAGCTAGTATGATCCTGGTGACTCTGCCTGGTGGCAGTGGGGTGGCCAGTGTGGCCTGTGGAACAAGACTCTGCAGCTCAGTTCCAAGGGAGACTGTGACAATCCATCACGCTGCTGTCTAGCACCCTGGTTCTGCTGTGAACCCTCACAGTCTCCCACTGTTCCCCAGCGCCTCCCCAGGCCTATCAAGAGGGAGGAAGGGTCCACATGGCAGCTCCTTTCCTTGGGCCCTACAGTGACCTTGCTGGCCTGGCACTCCAGGAACTGTGCTGTGCTGAGCATTGACACATTCAGCCAAATTCAGGGAAATGGCTTGTTGAACTTGAAGCAACTGTGAATTCATCCTGTAGAGACAGTGGTGATCAAGAGTGACAGATCACAGGGTGAAGGCCACCTCCATACCCGCTGCCTTTGGAGAGGGCTTAGGATAGCTGAGACCCTGATCTGACACTCATTGACACTCACCTGGTCTGACACCCCTGCCTCACCTGGTCAGTCCTGCTCTTTCCTCTTCTCTCTCTCATCTCTTGACTTGGAAGCAGCCAAGATGTGGCTCCCAACAAGTCCAGCAATGCTGATACCAAACACAGACAGCGGACTGTGTGACGTGACGGAGCCTGCCATCTGCCTTTATGTCTTGTTGCCAAGTCTCAGGGAACCGGCCCTCAGGCACACCTGCAGAAGGCGAGGCCCCACCCTGCCCCGCTCTGCAGATCCTGGTCTCTGTGTGGCCCTAAGAGAGCTGTGTTTGGAATTTCCAACTCAAACATGCCTTAACGAGGTGGCATCCAGACAGAGAGAGTAGGGGAAGAGACCAGGCTCCAGCTCACCCTGCATCACAAACCACGCTGCCCACCTTGGGCACAGCCTCTCATACTGCAGGGACCAGAGAGGACACTGACATTATTTTTAACTAATCATTAAGTTTTTTATAATGACTTTTTTTTTTACTAATAATACTTACAAATTTCTAGCTCTCACAAACATATAGAGTAAAGGTTTAGCCTAATAAACATTGTTACTAGATTAACAATTTTAATTCCGGTTTTGTCATTGGACAAACAGTTCCTGTAACCTTCTATTTCCTATCAGTGCTCTGCAAGATAATGATTACATTTTGACCACCCTGGTGCATGAAACATACTGTATTTTTTTATGCCTAAATAAAGAAAATTCTTGAAATTTCTCCATTTTTAGAGCTGATAGTGCTCGTGGGAAACACACACACGCATATACACGTATATATCTCCACCATCCTCAGGGGGCAGGGGGACACCGAAGTCACCTGCACTGTAACAGAAAGAAACACACAGGACCCAACTCTCAGCCAGACTCTGTGCAGGCCTCGCCCCCCATCTGCCTCCTCCTGTCTACACAGCAGCCACGGCCTCTGGTACTTGGACTGCAACACTGTCTGCAAAGGGCAAATGAAGAGCTAGCATCTTTCTCGGGCAACTGTACAGCCCTACCCACACCTGTGGGCTTCTAGATCCCTAGGAATATGCTAGAACCTTTTAAATCCCTTCTGGATGGACAGTCCTCAACTTTTCCTTTTAGAATTCAGAGTCAGCTTCTCATTTGCCCCAGTAGCTCTTGCCAGCCGAGACAGATACATGTTAAAGTCACTGCTGATGGTTTTTAACAAGTGCACCCCAGGGAAAGCCTGCTTGCGTTAAGCTCCAAACCAGGCCAAATAAACAGACTTGCAACTGGGGTCTTCCAGGGAACCACCAATTGACAGCTAACCAAAGCTGGGCTTTGGAGGTGTACCCCCTTTTTTGCCCATTCTGGGGCTGCTGGCTTTCACTCTGATTGTAGAACTACGGAGAGTCAAGGCTACCACTACATGTGGGCGTGGGGAGACAGAACTAGGACAGGTTAAAATGCCACAATGTGCCCCATACCGGCCATTTTTCTTGGATAGACACACCCATTGTTGCCAAGTGTTGTGCTAATTTCCAGAGTTCTGCAAAAAGTTGATTGTGTTCTCGCCGGGATCTTCACTGCTTTCACAGGGAGAGAAGTTCCTCGCCCGCTATTCCTGCTGATGTCACCCTCTCAGGCTGCTTTTGGGGCTCAGTTTTCTTACCTGTCTGAAAGGCCTGCCCCTCAATTTATAGGCTGTACAACCCCTAGAGCTCGCGAGATCTGTCTCCTACTTCCTTTCCCTGTGAGAACTGCCCCTCAGGCCCCAAGTCACCTCCCAGATAATCCCCGTGGCTCCAGCCCTCCCCAGTGGAGCCAGATGCTTTGTTTTGCTCATTTACCCCGAGGTAGGAGGAGTCAACCTCATGAGAAGAGGGCCCACTTCTGAAAGCCAATGACTTTCTGCATTTCACAGACCAAGGTGAGACCCAGAGAAGGGTGCCATGTGGCCAGAGAGACACTGCCAGTTAAGGACAGAATTGTGGCTAGTACCAGCCTCCTAGCTCCCAGTAGCAAGCTAGAGGCCTGTCCAGGACGCACCTTCGGCTCACATTGCGCGGGTCGTGGGAGAAACGACCGCCAGGGGGCGCGGCGTGCCAACAAAAGCGCTTCGCTGGCAGTCATGGCTAATTTCTGCTCCTAGGAGCAGCTGGCCCTGGCGGTTGTATCCTTGGGCTTGTAAGGGTCACGGTGTACCCCACCATGACTCCCAGCCTCTGGGGGCCCTGCTTCACCCAGCTTAGCTGCTCAGTCCTGTCCTACTTTCACCAAGCCAATCCCAGAGGGTTGACTTGTCCCTGCTGGTCCCTGTGGATTCCTGCTGGTCCTGGCTCCAGGCGCCTCCCAGGAAGAAATCCGTATAAATCCCATTCATGACGTGACACACAGAGTATCGCTCTTCTAAAGATCATCTTCAGAGACTTGCGCAGGCTCTATCTGCCACAATGCTAAATTCAGTATTACTTACAAAACAAAAAACTGGAAACGATATAAATGCCCACAATGAGACATTTACATAAATTACAGTGGGCCGTCTGATAATACTGGGCAGTTTTAAACTCATGTCTCCATGTGGTCATTTTGAGCTCAAGGTAAAAAAAAAAACCAAAAATAGAACCCAACGCATTATCTACTGTCAGATTCCAGTTTTTCCTACCAGAGAGCCCCACCCCATTATAGAATTATGAACAACTCTTTCCTCTTTTTGTTTCGAGGTTTTCAGTATCCAACACGTATATTTATAATCACGAAAGTTATTTTAATGTTAATTCATAAACACTTTCTTAACACTTTTCATAAACACATGTCCCCCAACTGCATGTCCCCTCTCAGGCAGTTTTAGATGGGGTTTCTTCAGAAGTACCTGAATCTGAAATGGTGATTGATTCGTAGTGCAGTGCTGGATCAAGGGTCCTGGGTAAGGATATGAGCGCTGCACTGGCCCTAGGGCAGGTAGTCTGCACACAACATAAAGGACAGAGAGGGAACTGTTCTGTCTCTCACTTGTTGCTTTGCTGTCTTCTGCCTGCCACCGTCCTGAAGCATTACCCCTCCCCGCGCCACCCTGCTTCAGAGCCAGCTGACTGTGAACTGAAACCTCTGCAAAGTGTGAGCTAAATAAACCTTTCCTCCTCTGCCTTTGGGTGTCCAGTATTTTGTCTCAGCAATGAGAAAAATAACTAAGACAATTGATAAATTGTATCTTCAAATGTATTTTTAAACATTGAAAAATTTTGTTAAAAATGTTTGAAGGTGTCTATGAATGCAACAATTTAAATTAACTAAATTACTTTTCCTTTTTTTTTTTTTTTTTTTGAGACAAGGTCTTGTTGTTACCCATATTGGCCTTAAACTCATGGTCATTATGTCACAAGTCTCCTGAGTACTGGAATCACAGGCAGGCACCACCATGCCCAGCTCTAAATTGCTTTTAAAGTCATTACTTTTTGAAAAGTCATCATTAAGAGGCTAAATAGCTTTTTTTTTTTTTTTTAACTTCTGAAAGATGTTTTTTTAACTTGGTCTGTGGTTCCAAAATCCCTGAGTGATTGGAGTTCTTTACCTTCAGATTTCCAGCAACTTTACAAATCAAAGTTGGGTCACTTACCCGCATAGGTAGGTGACCCACATAGAATTCTGTACTGCTGCTCTTTCTCAAGCATATAAGGGAAACAGATGAGGCCAATTTCAGCCCTTCCAGAGGTCATTTCTCATGTCTGTGTGTGCATCAACACCCAGGTGCTTCACTGTGCTTTGCAATATGCTTTTGTAACCAAGGACATAGGAAATTGCAGTCAACTCGATATTCCCAAGTAATGGTTGCTGGGGGCATGTTCCCTGCTGTTACACAGGAAGCTAGGTTGAGAAAGGGAGCTTTTTCAGATGCAGCTGTGGACAGGAAGAGAATCTTTCCATCAAAGGAAACAAACCAAATTCCACCTCTGAGCTCAGAGAAAACTTCCTGGCTGAGCAGAGACCCCAGCAGGAGCTAGTAAAGCCCTCACCACATGATGCAACCAACATTTTGCAGGGCATAGAGAAGCAGGAAAAATGATCTGGGGTATTTGCAAATACAAGGCTTACAACTTAGTGACAATGGCCCTGAAGATAAGTAGGAAAGAAGACCATTATCCGTACCATTCCTGACAAGCCAATCCTGGTTTGCACAGGAATTTCTCAGTTTTGTCTCTAAAATCCTATGTCCTAGAAAACTCAGTCCCACTCCAGGAGATCTGGTAGTTCTGAATGTGAACTGTAGAAACCAATAGTCCTGAGTGTCAGTCAGCTCTCTTCCCTGAAAAGCAGAAGCACATGTCCTGACCTCTCTGAACCACAGTTTCCTTCTATCCTGGGTTTTTGTGAAATTTAAAGGAAATAAAGTTTGAAAACAGAGCAGAACCAAATGTGGCACACAACAATGCTCCATGTATCATGGAAGGAGAGAGGGTCTGAATAAAATTACAGAAGATTTTCATGTTTTATTTGATTTTTATATGTTTTTAAATTATTTTTTCTTATGGGGGTGTTTTTTATTGGTACATTTTAGAAATATATCACGACCACATTCATCAGAGGGAATCTGTGTGTGTACATGATATATCTTGCTTCTGAAAGGATTTTGCTCTAGATAGGACACTACAGCAGTTGGAAGGCGGGACCAAGGGACATTTACCTTGAGGTCATTTTCCCCGCCCCTAGGCAATTCACCTGTGGCACGAAAGCAACCCCAATGGGCTGCTGGCGCATCAGCAATGCCCCCTTTAGGCACCACCCCAGACCAAAGCTGTATGTATGACCCCACACCACGCGTCCGGCAGAGAAAGCCAGACCCCAGTGGTCATGGAGTTCTCTCCACATTCTTAGAATAAAGGCCACTTTTACCTTATATTCTCTCTTCTAACCGTGCTGAAAATCGGTTCCCTGACCAGAAAGGCAGAGTGACTCGCTCCTGGGAACCCTTCCCAGGGTGAGTCCTCCTGCCTGAGAACTCTGCTGAAACCACCTGTTTCTTCCTCCGGGACTTTTTACTCGCCACCCTAATCTGCATGCAAGAGGGACCTTCCTCACTGCACATCCATGAGCTGCCGTCCAGGGCAGGGGTTTTGATTCTGTTCCTTAGCAAGCTTGCGACAGAAAAGCCATCCTGTTGTCCCGAACAGGGATACCACTTTTCACACTCCTTAGGCCACATGGCTTGAGGCAAGACTGACATTTTTGTTCCCTGGGACCCCACCGTGCACTCTTCGGTGACCTGGCCAAGGAGAATGGGTGTTGGGACATGTTCCGTGTCACACTGACAAAACAGATGACGGTCTTGTTTGCTATGTGTGAGCTAGCACAGCTTCCACGTTCCTTGGGGAAGCTACAGATCTTACTTCCTGAGGCAAAGTTGTTCTCTCAGCTCACTTATAATTCAGTCATTGGAACCACTTCCTGCCCCGCAAAAAACACACCTCTGGGGTGCCTGGTTCATAACCTTGGTGCTCTTGGCCTCTAAAAGGCTACCAAAAACCAAAAAGCTGACCTTTTATCACAATGGCGGCAAGCTGGCAGAAACCCTTCATCTTTAGGCCTTTTTCGCTTTAAGGACGTGTCTTTCTCACTCTGTTTTCCATGATGGCCCAAATACTTCTGGCTCACTCTGCTCCTCCAGGAGCTCTCCCCGTCCCCACACTTTGGATGTGGCTCTTGTTTGTACGGCTTCTCCCCTATATCTCACACACTAAATCCTGCAGCTTTCTCAGTCAAAGGCTGAGACCC